ACAGACAGACAGACAGACAGACAGACAGACAGTCAGAAAGACAGACAGTCAGACAGACAGACAGTCAGACAGTCAGACAGACAGTCAGTCAGACAGACAGTCAGTCAGACAGTCAGACAGACAGACAGTCAGACAGACAGACAGACAGACAGACAGACAGACAGACAGTCAGACAGTCAGACAGACAGACAGTCAGACAGTCAGACAGACAGTCAGTCAGACAGTCAGACAGACAGACAGACAGACAGACAGACAGTCAGACAGACAGTCAGTCAGACAGTCAGACAGACAGACAGACAGACAGACAGACAGACAGACAGACAGACAGACAGACAGACAGACAGTCAGATCGACAGTCAGTCAAACAGACAGTCAGACAGACAGACAGTCAGACAGACTGTGGACAAACAGGAAGTCTAACCAGCAGCGTGACCAGAGTGGTGGAGTAAAAGGCCAGGTCTTCTATGATTTCTGTCCTCCGATTGGCTCCGATCCTCAGAGATCGGCTGTGAACTTCCTCTGGTAAAACAGTCAGAATCTCTATGAGGAACGGCATCGAGCTGATGTCATTGTTGTACCTGAACGGGGCGGAGACACAGGAGAAACAGGTGTGTCGGCAGAATTTTTATAGTGCAGCCAATGTGTGAACAGTTTGAGTGACTTTGTGAAATCCTACTTTTCTATCAGGGTGTGAACGCATCCTTTCCATGAGGCCATCTGAAGAGCGAGGTCAGCGATCGCCAGCGCCAGCTGAGATGACACAAACTGTCTGTCAAACTACCTCCTTCTGTTTAATTATTCACAACCTGATGATTTCCTCTAGTTGGTTTCAATTAAAACAAACTAAAATGAAACCTTTCAGCCATTCAAATTATAAAATGGTACGTTCAAACAATAAGTTTAGAGGAGGGTTAAACAGAGGTAAAGGTGTATGTAGCATGTTGGACACACGTGTGTGCTCTCAAACACACAGAGGCCTGCAGCAGAACTCTGCTCTGCATGAATAAATGTGCTGCCACCTACTGGTCAAACAGCCACATAGCATCATGTCATCACATTACAGAGACACAGCACCAGCTGCTGCTTCAGCTCTGATCCTTGTTCCTTTCAGAAGATGCCTCAGTCTGGGACTGACAGCTCTGCTGCCCACCTCTGAGCATTCAGACGACAGCTGGAGGCGGGGAGGGGGACCACCCTCAGTGACAGAAACATGTCAGGGCAGTCCAGCTGATTTCCTCTTTACTACGCACAGATTAATGTTCTCTGAAAACACATGTGAGTGCACTAAGAGAGCGTCTCCTGTGCCTGAAATTCACTTTTTAAATTGGAGGGGAAATCCCCCCTTACATGTTTCATTGTGGGGGGGTTTATACATGTTGGGGGGTTATTACTTCTGAGTCTGACTACAGGTTTTATGTTGTGCTACAACATATAATAAATACATGCTTNCAGACAGACAGACAGACAGACAGACAGTCATCATGTCTTCATGTTCTACAGAAGGTTTTCAGTCATTCTTTAGTTAAACAGGTTCATCTTGTTGAAACTGAACTGTCTGGTTTGAGAAGAGATCAGTTTTTGTTTGAGTTGTTTACCTGAGAGGCTTGTGTCTGATGAACAGGTGAATGAACACATGAGCAGACGTATAAAATGAAGGAAGGATGACAGACTGAAAGTGAAACAGGTCCAGCTGGATCAGCTTTAGTCTGTCAGACTCAGGACTCTGTTTCTGAGGACAGGATGATGGAAGTCCTGCTGGGTTCTGGCTCTGTTCTGGTTTGATGTGATAGGAGGTAGAATGCTGCCATCTGCTGGAAGATGAGGACAATCATCACAACTGAAACATGACAAACTATTTCCTGTTGGCACCAGGATCACCTGTTCAGGTGTTTCCTTCACTCCTGACTGGTTTTAACTTCTAAACAACTATGTTTACGGTTGGAAATTAAAAGGTTAGAAACAGGAGGAGTTTCTGTTAAATGACTCAGTAAGATCTGCTGTTCTGGTGTGTGTGTGTGTGTGTGTGTGTGTGTGTGTGTGTGTGTGTGTGTGTG